GTGTAATGGAAAGGATTTCCAATAACCTGTTGCAAATTTTCATCAACAGCAGCTGCCCACTTCGCTGGCTGGCTCCAAACTGAAGATCAAACGGCCACCAGGCGAGAACCCATCGCTCAACAGATATGTAGGAGAAAGTGTAGACGGATAGGGTATATACTGAGGAAGCCGCCAAATGACATCGCTCGAGTGGAATCTCAATGGAAAGCGACGAGTGGGTTGTTCAAGGGTGACGCAGAGGAGATCGTGTGAGGAGCGGATGTGTGACTATGGTCGATCGTGGACCCAGATGAATAGGACAGCAGGAAATAGAATGAAGTGAAGATGTGCTGTTGAAGCCAGCCCAATGTTTCACTCAGAACCCAAGGGAACAATAATAGTAACATTGATAAGAATGAGAGCATGACGCTAATAATTGATAGCGGAGACAAATCACAACGGGACGTCAAAAAGATGTCAGCCATCTAATAGAACTTTGTAATCCAAATAAATGAGATACTCACAGAATCAAAAAAATACGCGATATTCTACTCAGTTAAGGCCTTCAATTATTTACTTTTTGAATGATTTTGGTACTACAATTACTTTCGAATAATATCAGTTAAGTTTCGATGTTATCTTTGGAAACCAGCGTACCAAATTAGAGCTGTTAATTAAAAAACGATATTCGCTGGTCTATATCAATGTTTGACGACAAAAACATCCGGAATATTACAGTTTATTGATAACGCTGGTTTGATAATCCCACACTTGACTTATGTAAGTGATGAAAAAACTACTGCAGTCCCCAACTAATTTAATGGGAAAGTTTGAGCGATCTTGCGATGTCCACCTCATGGCCCGTGTCACTAACCAGAGTCTATCCTACAGGTAGCTAAGGTGGTTCCCGTATATCGAACAAATTGCTCTTTGGTGCAATCAAAAATTGATAGATATCCTTCTCATGTTATTAACTCCAACTGTATATACAAATTTACATGTATCTGCGGGGGCAGTTACATTGGAAGGACAGAAAGAAGAAGGGCATATTTACGATTTTCCGAACATGTTGCTGAAAAGTTTCCATTGTGTATGACTATTATTGTTCGGAATAGTGTTTAATATTACATATGTATATATTATTACTGTATGCATATACTGACTGATTGATTTTTGTTTAAAAATGAATTATGTGCAGGTATGTTAAAGTTGTTTCTGTAAATATATTTAATAATAACTTTGGCCTGTAAGCAGCTGATGAGAAGCTAACGAAATGAACATTGTTATTAGCATTTTACTCCGCAAAAGCTGTTGTTCCGCTTTATTCAAATTAATATGAAAGAACTGACAGATAGACGAAGAACTTTATACATTTTAAGTTGCCACAAAATGTAAAGGCAGACACAAGGAATATAACTGCCAAAAATTGGTATGAAGGAGAGAATAATTATGCATGGAAGTTATCGAAGACATTCATAAACGGAAAGATAACACAGTGTGAACACAGTTTATGCCACAGTCAACTATTTGACAGCTATTCAAGTAGTTTTTCGGGCACTTAGAAGTCATTGCCAAAGGGGTTCACCACCTCAAGCGTCAAATGGTTGTGTCATCGATGATGCCATTGGTTTGGTAGTGGCTTTATATCGTAAAATAAAAGAAGTAAGTAATTACAATGTCACTGGATTCCAACTAGTTGGTTGCATGGAAAACAGACTGGCCTTCGGGGTGTTATTCTCGATGGATTGTTTAGTACGCACTGTTGAAGAATCGCACAGTAAAATAGAGCAGTTGTCCAGTGGTTGTCAAAAACTTCCCAACCAATACTTGAATATCAATGAGATGCCCACTGGCGACTTGCCTTATCGAGGTAAGTAGTTAGCTGGGGTTCTAGTGGGAATTCGTGACCAGTAGGGTGCAGCAGGTCGGGTGTGAGGACAAAAACTAGCCACAGAAGACATTGGCTAGCGGTTGCGCTATATCGTAAATTAAGAACAAATTAGTTCAGCGAAGAGTCTCTTTTTCGGCGAATTCATTCTCTTAGCTGTACAGTCGCAAATATATACAATTTATTTTGTGTGTGTGTGTGTGTACATAAGGTTTGTCAAAATCAAAATCAAAATAACAGTTAGTGTGGGTTGTTGATTACATCATCAAAATAATAAAGAAATTAAATTGTGTGAATAGTAATCAAAGTTGTAACTAAGTGGGGTGAAAATTGGTAAGATGTGAGTAGGGTTACGTAATATGAAAATAAACTAGATAATAGGTGAAAAGATTGAATGGGTTAGTTACTAAAAATTATTATACGAATATTGCAAAAAAAATTTGATAACAAAATGTTGATGACAGATGAACTTGAAATTAAACCCACGGTAGTAGGAGGGGGTGGAGAAGTTTCTTCTGTGTGCATAATTCAGGCTTTTCTATCCAAATCGCTAAGGCTTCGGCAATACAAAGTATACGGAAGCTTGTCGATTTTGGAAGGCTTCTTTTGACTTTATAGATGACTTTGAATGACTTCTCCTTACAAATCGAATGACCAGTGTTAAGTATATGCTCAATAATGGCGCTCCTTATTGCTCCATTGTTACCTTTCCGTAGCCAGGCGGGATAGTGTTCTTGAACTCTTTTAGATAAAACTCTCATCGAACGACCTATATACCTCGCTCCGCAAGAGCAAGTGAATTGGTAGATACACATGGAAGTGGTCAAATGCGATAGTTTATCTTTAGAGTAGTTGAAGAACAATGGCCGGGAGGAAAATGTCAGTCGTAGTGTGGCAGCGAAGAATGTCCTACTTAGAGCAGTAGATATCCTCTTCTTCAAGGTGTCAGCCAGAAGGTCACCTTTGAAGGGTACATTCATGTGGACCATCTTCTTCTGCACTGTAGTGGGTTGTTCTTTGTAAGTCTTAGGCTTAATATGCTTGGAAGAAAACAACCTGAATATTGGAGTACCTATCACCAAGCTAAAAGAACTCCTACTCAGATGTACCCTATATGTCCAGTTCACATTCAATGGGAACCTCTATAAACAACAAGATGGCGTGGCGATGGGATCACCTTTGGGTCCGGTGTTGGCTGATATTTTCATGGCAAGTTTGGAAAATGGTCCGCTGAAAGCAACCATCGATAAATTCTTCTTATACAAAAGGTATGTTGATGATACTTTCGTCATCTGCGATAACAATTGTGATCAAAATATGGTTCTTCAAGTGTTCAATAGTTGCCACCCCGCCATCAAATTTACAATCGAAGTAGAAACCAAAGAGACAATCTCCTTTCTGGACGTTCGTTTAAGTAAGAAGACCGATAGTACCTTGAACAGATCAGTACACAGAAAACCTACATGGAACGGTCAGTTGACAAACTTCTACAGTTGGGTACCAATTCGTCGCAAGCGAAACTTGATAATATCTCTGGCGACTAGAATCCGAAAAATCTGCAGTCCTGAATCGATAGAGGAAGAGATCGCCCTCTTAAGGAAGACACTGCTCGAGAATGGCTACCCACCCCGTTTTATAGACAAGCATATTAAGCCTAAGACTTACAAAGAACAACCCACTACAGTGCAGAAGAAGATGGTCCACATGAATGTACCCTTCAAAGGTGACCTTCTGGCTGACACCTTGAAGAAGAGGATATCTACTGCTCTAAGTAGGACATTCTTCGCTGCCACACTACGACTGACATTTTCCTCCCGGCCATTGTTCTTCAACTACTCTAAAGATAAACTATCGCATTTGACCACTTCCATGTGTATCTACCAATTCACTTGCTCTTGCGGAGCGAGGTATATAGGTCGTTCGATGAGAGTTTTATCTAAAAGAGTTCAAGAACACTATCCCGCCTGGCTACGGAAAGGTAACAATGGAGCAATAAGGAGCGCCATTATTGAGCATATACTTAACACTGGTCATTCGATTTGTAAGGAGAAGTCATTCAAAGTCATCTATAAAGTCAAAAGAAGCCTTCCAAAATCGACAAGCTTCCGTATACTTTGTATTGCCGAAGCCTTAGCGATTTGGATAGAAAAGCCTGAATTATGCACACAGAAGAAACTTCTCCACCCCCTCCTACTACCGTGGGTTTAATTTCAAGTTCATCTGTCATCAACATTTTGTTATCAAATTTTTTTTGCAATATTCGTATAATAATTTTTAGTAACTAACCCATTCAATCTTTTCACCTATTATCTAGTTTATTTTCATATTACGTAACCCTACTCACATCTTACCAATTTTCACCCCACTTAGTTACAACTTTGATTACTATTCACACAATTTAATTTCTTTATTATTTTGATGATGTAATCAACAACCCACACTAACTGTTATTTTGATTTTGATTTTGACAAACCTTATGTACACACACACACACAAAATAAATTGTATATATTTGCGACTGTACAGCTAAGAGAATGAATTCGCCGAAAAAGAGACTCTTCGCTGAACTAATTTGTTTTTATTTCAATGTCTTAATGGGTATTTTTCGCGAATATCGTGAATTGGCAGAAGTTAGAATTCATGGGCTGGCCATTGGATCGGGTCCCAGTGGCTTAATGGTATACGAGCTCTCCTTGCGACCACAAGGTCCTGGGTTCGAACCCCGCTGGGGTGGTTACGTACAGATAAAGAGTCCCAAACTTGGACGAAACAGTTGTCCAGTACTCCCAGGTTTTCCAGTGAATCTGTAACCAATGTCAGCTCATGATGAAATCCTGTAACCAATCAACCAAATCCCTAAAAACCGATACTTGATTTGGTTATTGATGAAATCTCCACTGAAATCAGCCAGCATTCCCACAAGCTTGAGGATTTTGAAAATTGTTCACACACTCCAGTACTATAGTTGCTTTTCAGTTTGACTGTTAATTATGTTGGTCAATATTGATGACACTAATCGCTTATGATTTCAAGTTATTTTAAAGTATGACTGCACACAGGTTTTCTACTTTATTCACACCTTCTGATATCCACTTATCTTTGGATATTTTATTTTACCGTTTTATTTTTAAAGATAATCTTCAAATCAACCACATATGGAAAAATAATATCCCAGTTAATGCTTCATATTCATATCCGGCCACCAATAATTGATCAGAGTTTTCGATGTTTTCATCCTGAATTAAGTTTCTTGAAGAAAATTTTACGTCTTCCTCGAAGTGCTATACAATGGAGGGGGAATATTTCTTCCGCCGAACAAAATACTATTCAACAGATTAACCATCAGCTATGGACTAGAGTATCTGATCCAGATGTTTTGACTTTATCAAATGTCCAAGGTGATACAGTGGATATATTGATTAAAGTTGGTCTAGGGAAATCACCACAGGTAAGATGATTGGAGTGTGTTTTATAATAAAAAGGCACAAACAGCGAAGAAAATTTTCTTTTCGACGATTCATTTTCATGAGCTGTACACTCGTAATTGTAATTAACATAGAAATCTTTAGACCAATCAGATACTGATAAACTTTGTCCTTGAAAAACTGTATCACATAATGTAAGATATAACCTAGATGGGATGACTAATTGTAAGTTAGAAAGGAGACAGAAGTTGACATGACGTAACAAGTGCGAGATAATGACTAATCAATAAGCTAGTGTAGAATGGACAGGAACTAGTGGAAAGGCGATAAAGTGCGTTCACATAAAATCTGTATGAAAAAGCAGTGTTATTAATAAACAGTAATAGAGTGATAATAAAATATGGCTGATGGGAATAATAATGATAATAAAAGTATTAAGAACAAGAGCTCTGGAAGTTGATAAATTTTCCAGTTCATGTTGGCTTACGGTATATCGATCTTTGGATCGTACACTCGTGTCTTCTGGTGAGTAGTACATCGAAGAATAGAAATGACTTGTTCAATTCGCGTTCTAAGGTGAATCTTATTGATGGATGCGCTGCGTTGAAGGTTTTGAGGAGAGAATCTAAATCACATATTTCATCGTAGATTATAAACGTATCATCTACGTATCTCTTGTATAAGTGCAGTTGACTTATCAAGGAATCAAGGATGCTGTTTTCGAGACTCGCCATGAAACAGTCGACTAGGAGTGGACCGAGAATAGACCCCATGGCTACTCCATCTTTCTGTACATAGAACTGTTCATTGAATTTGAACTGGATATTGAACGTACACCTGAGAAGTCCCTTCAGGTAGTTTATGGGGAGAGGAACTTCTAGGTTGCTGGTTTCAATGTAATTACAAATGAAGCATATTGTTTCGGTTAGGGGGATACTTGTGAATAGAGAGGCGATATCTAGTGAGATCATTTGTCTTTCAGATTTGTTGACATCCTTCACTGAGTCGATGAAGTCAAATGTATCTTCTCATATGTCTTTTAACTGGTTCGAGGATATCAGTTAGCCAATTCGCGATTTTATGATATGGTGAGTTAACCATGTCTATATCCGGTCGAAGTGGGACATTCTCATTATGCACTTTCGGCACTCCATACAGTCTTGGAATAGTTGAACTACATGGTTTTATTTGCTCATAAACCTCCAGTGTTATGACTGAATCTTCTTTCATTCTCTTCAGCAATTTTGTAAGTAGGTTTTCTGTTCTTTCGGTTGTGTCTTTCTGGTTGGGTGATTCAAAGAATTTGGTTTTGTCTGATAGTAAATTTGTCAATTTCTCATTATAATCGGATCTCTTCATCACTACAATCCCACTGCCCTGATCAGGACGGACGAGGATTATGTCTTTATTTTCTTGAAGTTGTTTAAGTTGTCTTTTCTATGTTCTTTGGTCAGTAGATAACGGTGTCTCGGTTGCGTACGAATGTACGTGTAACAGCTGTCAAGAACTGAAGCTTTGAATTGATCTAGATCTTCTTCGGAAGTAGGTGACAAATCGGATGTCTGTGACATAAAATTCTCAAACTGCACTTTAGCTTGTAATTCGTTGGTTTTACTCGATACATGGCAAAATTTTGGGCCAAGTGAAACAGAAGTCAGAGGAAAATTCAAGAAATTAAAGACATATTTCTCCGGATTCTGTGTTTTATAATAAATAAATGATTAAGTTTTATTTTAACGAGTTGATCACGAATTTATATCAGTTAGAGGACCATTGAAAACCAACCAGGGAGTATTGGACAGCTGTTTAATCTAGTTTGAGAATCAACGGCAGTACACACCCACTCGAGCGTGGTTCGAACCCAGGACCTTTGCTGAATCAGGAGTTGCGGACACACACAAGTGTAATTCATTCGCATCTATATATTTGTGTATTGACTACACTATCTGGTTTCTTTATTTTTGTGATACGACAAAGATTCTGATTTCAAATGGAACCTTCTGTCATTTTGCTTTTTAATCGACTGTTATTTAGCAAGATTTTCTTCATCCTGGAACACTGTGGTCAAACCGCCATGACTATAAAAAAAAGAAAGAAAATGTGACAACATTGTATGAAAGCAAACTAAGCCCATCATTTTTTCATTTTCCAGTCAATATTTCTCCTAGAAGTGGTTGTTTCTATAACTCGAGGACTTCGATCCACTTTATAAATTATTCTGTCTGTCTGTCTGTTCGTTTTCGACAGAGAACTTTACACAAATGTGCAGAAGTTCAAGTCACCACATTCCCTTCATGTAACACACAAAGCAAGAGAAAGCAGAAGAAATACATAAAAGAGACAATAGACAGGGATATGAAACAAATGAAATAGTAATAAGGAAGAACAAAATAGTTTCATTGAGTATTATAAGTCACCAGGGAAGGATGCATCTGCACTAGCCATTGAGAACGATGAGTCTGAGCCATATCACCATTAATTGTCTCCAGCTCTCTTTGGTTTACATCGTCCTGATGATCCCAACCAGTCAGGAAATCTACATGGATCCTACGTGGCTAGCATAAACTAACTGTTGTGGATTTCATTGACTGATGAAGCTATGTTTTTGTTTGACCACCACTGGCTCTTTTCCAACCTCGCCGATCCTATGTCAGCGAACGTTGCCAGTCGAGGAAGGCGATGACTAGGCATCCGTAACACATATCCTAACCATCTCAATCGAGGTAGCTTTACAGCCTCGTCAATTGATCTCCCCCCCCACACGTTCCTAGGACTCGACGCCTAACCTCAATATTTCTCACTCTATCATACCACCTCACATGGGAGATGGAACTCAGACACCTATGATCAAAGACAGCTAGCCAGCATTTTCATGTCCTCCACTCTCTCGATGTCTTACAGACATACAAGAGGACGGAGCGGACTGCTGAGCAGTACACACGCTCTTTGGTCGATAGCCAGTCGGATATCACGTCTACACCACAGGCGGCTTAAACTGACATGCGAAACTAGCCTTCTGTATCCGTTCTGAGATTTCATCAGAGATCAACCTGTTGGTGCTGGCTGATGCAACTTCCCAAATAAGTGAAGCGATCAACGCGCTCCACCACTTCACTCCCTCTATTTCTAAACTAGGAGTCAGTGAAGTCCAGTCCAATCCTGTAACATCATCTTACATTTGACTGCAGGAGTGAATCGCATGCCAAACATTCGGAGATTGCAGCTCCAGGCGTCCAAAAGACTCTGCTCTATTTTGTTAGCATCTTCATCTAGAAGAGAGGATGATGTCATCTGCATATTCCAAGTCGACGAGATTATCCGCTGGTAACAAGTCAATACCTGAGTCACTGAAGTCACTTAGAGTTAAGTGCATTAGTACATCTACGATGAAAGTGAATAGAAATGGGGATAGTGGGCATCTCTGTAGGACACTACTAGTCGCCACCAGTCCAGATGACAACTCGCCGATTTATCACTCCCAGCCACGCGGTGGTCCACGTTTTATTCCTGACCGACGTACTTCTAAATCTTGCCTAGCCAGTAGTTAAACCAGGAAAAGAAGGAATGTTGTTAGGCGAAAGACTAGAAATCACATCCTATAAAAGCAGCGCCACTGCCACTGAGATTTCAAAGCTTAAAGCCCTATGTTTCACTCGGAACGTAAGGGGATGACATTTTAACACTGTACTTGTGCTATTTTACCCGTGATTATCAAAACTACTTATATTGCGACCTTTCTATTACAACTACTTATATTACTACTAATGACTATATTTCTGATTACAAGGCAAGCTCATAGACAATTCATCCACTGGGACTAGATCCAAGGTCCTAATGAATTCTAACTTCTGACAACTCGTGATTTTCGGGGCGACTACCAAAACAATGCTATCGATGAGTATATGTCCTTACTCCCGACTGAGTGTACCCCCCCACCACCTCTGTTAAGGACTTCTCACTGAAATTCACCAAAATAAGTTCGTCCGGGACAGCTAGTCAGTGTCTCCTGGGTTTCATAGTAATAATAATAATAATCTGCTTTATTCCAAAACAGTACTTGTGTTACAGAATGGAATTCTCAGCATTTCACTACAGTATTCTATCCCTTTCCCCATTTCTGTTTAACTTCATCATATATATGCAAATGGAAGTATCCTTAACTGAACTTAACGACTTAGTAATCGGTTTGTTACCAGAGTATAGCCTTATGGACTTAGAATATGCAGATGACATAGTCCTGTTAGGGGAGGATGCTGAAAAAATGCAGTCTTCTGAACACCTTGAGCAGCAATCTTCGTATGTTTGGCATGCGATTCGCCCCTACAAAATGTAAGATGCTGCTACAGGACTGGACCACGTCAACCCCTAACTTAGTGATAGCGAGTGAAGTGATAGAACATGTTGACCACTTCACCTACTTGGGAAGTTGTACTACCACCAACGGACTGATTGGCGATGAAATCTCAGCACGGATCCGAAAAGCTCGAGCTGCTTTCGCTGACTTACACCATCTCTGGCGTAGGCGTGACACCGGTTATCAACCAAGGGACGTGTGTACTGCTCAGCAGTTCGCTCCGTCCTTCTCTATGGCTCTTAAACATGGCCAATACGACTTGAAGACATGAAAAGGTTGACTGCTTTCGATCATAGATGTCTGCGATCTCTGTCTCACGTTAGGTGGTTTCACAAGGTAAGTAATGTTGACGTTAGGCGTAGAGTGTTGGGCAAACACGGAAAATCAATCGACGAGGCTATAAAGTTACATAGATTGAGATGGCTAGGTCACGTGCTGCGCATGCCTAACCACCGCCTCCCCCGACGGGTATTACTAGCTGATATAGGTGCAGGTTGGAAAAGAGCCAGTGGTGGCCAAACAAAAATATGGCATCAATCCATGAAATCCTTGACAGTTAAACTGAGTCAGGTAGGGCGGGAGATGCAGACTCCCGGGTTGGGGTCCTCGGGACTCTAGGAATCAATGGCTGGAGACAATAGGTGACATGGCTCAAAATCGTTGTCAATG